ATTGTGTGCATGTGTATTGCCTAATTCTGTTCAGACATGTATGCGCTCACATCAGAGAGCTGCTACCCAAGCAGCTCAATAATTACAAGTCTGAAAAATCCTCATTGCTGAAAATTACAAACTCAAGGACCTGTAATTCACAGAATGCTTGTTTTGTAGCTCACTTGATACGTTTTATTGATTTTGAAAGCAATAAAAGAAAAACCTTTGTCGAGCCATTGACATAATTATTTCATCATAAATGTAGATGAAATTGGTAGATTATATGTAACCTGAAATTAAGTATCATTATCACATTTATGTGAAGAGTAGTTTCCAAGTGTTTTAAGCATTGACATACTTTAAGATTTTTCTATATCAAAACCACTTTCAAGGGATTGTAAGCTATTGGTAAATTTCACTCTGAGAGCATATAGTTGAGAAATAAAATTGGGGAAGACACAAACCTTCAATTATTACATTTTTTTCTAATGCTTCCTACTTTTCCAACTATTTTTATCATAAATCAGGAGGGAAGGGAGCCACATAAAGCCTTGAACTCCAACTTGCTTTTTTCTCTGTCTCTACTGGGAATGTATTATTCTCACCATCTCCTTGGACAGCCAACCACTGAGTGAAAACTAGATCATTGAAAGCATTTCTCACAGGAACCAATCCAGGTATCTTCTCAGCACATTCATGATAACTCAGATTCGCTGGTGGGTACATGACTGGATGGACTGGTTGTATGCAGTCATGTGTCTTGAACTCCAATTTGTTTTAAAGATAGGTCTCCTATAGCCTGGGCAGGCCTCACACATCTGGAGTTAGCCTTGAAATCTTGGGCAACTTCCTTCAGTCCCCTAACCTTGTGAACACTGGGTTTATAGGTGTAGGTTACAATGCCCAGTGCAACTCTTCTTGATCATGATTCGTAACTGCTCTTGGTATTCCTCTTAGGATTCTGTTCTTCTTCCATCTATATTATTTTATAGACATGAAGGTCTGTGATTCAAACAACAGGCTACACCTCAATATATTCCAAAATTATATTCCGGCCTTGACCTTTGCTGAAAAGTCCATATTTATAAGCAACTGATTTTTTTGTTGTGTCCACTTAGCTTCCTAACACCACTTCAAGTTTAGCAAATGAAAAGTAGAACCATTTATTGCCATTTCTATCCCATGAATATTGTTACTCAGAATAAGAGACCTAGACAAGACCTTGGCTCCTTTTGCTCCTTTTTCTCATATCCAACTCCTGTGGCCCCAAGATTCAGCCCCAACTCTTTCTCTTTAATACCATCCACTAACCAATGCTGTAGGGATTCTCACCAGGCTAATGCAATAACCTACTAATTTGTCTCTATGCTCTCCCTGTAAAAGATCTACCTTTCACACAGAAGACATAGAGAACAATGTACAGAAATCAGAGCATACCCGCTCCTGCTTAAGCAGGACAAAAAAAAAATCTGTGGTTTCTTTTTTCTTTTTTCTTTCTTTCTTTCTTTCTTTCTTTCTTTCTTTCTTTCTTTCTCACTTTCTTTCGTTTTGTTGTTGTTGTTTCCCAGCACATAGAACAAAATCCCTTTTCTCTATGGATGTTATGAGTCTTCTTTATTCCTGTCTTCCTGATTGTCCTACCTTCTTCCTCCTATACTTTATCATTATTTTCCTTTTTAATTCCACACTTCTACCATCCTGCTTCTGTTTGTTCCTCAGGTGCAGAAAGATAAGGCCTAAGATGCCAAGACATGAGCCAACCTGGAGCCTGCCTGAGGGCCTAGCATCAGGCGCTGTCAGAGGTTACGTTCTGATCCTGCCTGGCCAATGAGGGGTGACCACGCAATGTCACCAGATGGGGACTCTGCCTGGGTGCCTGGAGGAGAGTATATAAGGTTCCTCCCACTGCTGAATAAAGGAGTCTGCTGTTTTCCTTTTACCTGACTCCCGGATACCATGCCTTCTAACCCCATCTCCAGAGGGAGCCATTAAGACCCAGCCACACTCAGGACCTTCATACTGGTGTCATCCAGTACTTAGGGCTGTTCTTTCTATAGTTCCTATGGTCATCGTTTAGGCTTCATGTCAAAACACACCTGTAATGTTTCTTCCTGGATATCTCTGCCATTGACACAAGGTCTACTGTCTCTACCATTGGAGGACTCACAATGAGTCCAAACTTTAGTCTGAAAACCATCATGTGGTACAAATACCCCCACCTAGAGAATAAAGGTGTTCCAGTCATTGTCTACAAGATTTTACTCTAAAAGACACACACTCCATACTCAATGTTAGTCATCCTAAGACCGAATGCAGGCCAAATGTTCATAATGAAAATATACTAGCATGACAGGGGCCTGCCTAAGAAGTTCTGTACCCCAGAAGTTCAGGGGAGGAGGTGTTAGTGGCACTAAGACAGTCATTTTTTAAGAAACATTTTCTGGGGGGAGATGGAAGTTCTTCAGGACATTAACATATAACCAGGAAGCTGGAAGTTATTAGCCCTCTGTCGACTTCAGAATTTTGGAAGTACCACCCTGGAACTCCACTTTGCGGGAGGGATCTAGGCGTCAAGAATGAAAACATCTGCTTAAACTGGAGAAGGGGACATGTGACAGATTGCTAATTTGATTCCTCATACATACCTGGCGATTGGGTTAAATATTTATTCAGTATACAATGCCAGACTACCCAACACCTTATCCTGGTTTCAGAGGCATCTACTTTGTTTTTTATCTTTTTAAATTTCATTTTGCATTCCAACTACAGTTCTCCTACCCCTCCCTGGCCTCCCCCTTTAGCCCACCCCCATCCACTCCTCCCACAGGGTAAGGGATCCCATGGGGGATTGACAAAACCTGGCCCATTATGTTGGGAGAGGACCAAGCCCCTCCCCGCTGCATTAAGGGTGAACATGGCTCACACACCAGGAACAGATACTGGTCCTACTGTAAGGTACCCTCAGATAGATCCAGCTGCACATTTGCCTCCCACATGCAGAGGGTCTCCTTTGGATCCATGTTTGTCCTTATATTCCAAAGAGTATCAACTATGACACGAAACAAGTGCAAGCTAAACTCAGTCTTGGAAGACCTGACATTAACGCTAACCCTCGGCTCATTCAGACTTTTCCAGATCACTTTAAGAACCTTGAATTAAGAGGATGCTAAGAGGACATAGCATTCAGTATGAAAAAAATTTAGAGTCTACAAGGGACCCAAGAGTACTCAACAAGAGTGTAGCAGAATATGCATGTCAATGGAAAAAAGAAGCGGTGAGGACATAAAGGATATTTGTAGTTAGTGAATTAGTAGTAATATTTAGGCATAATAACATAGCCCAGAATGGAGCCCGAAAAGACCAGTCCTCAGTAAAGAAAGGGGAGAGAGAAACTTAAACTGTCATTCTCAAGACAGGCTTGCTGGCATTCAGTTACTGACACGATGTGGAGAACAGGAAGAGTAAATGAGAAATACAAAGGCCCTGGCTTAACCAAGAACGTTTAAGTTTTAATTCTTAAGCAAGGAAAGCAAGAGACGGCAAAGTTCTTTGGTCAGGTGTTGGAGCGTATGCTGGCCAGCTTGTGCCTGGATCTTTCTTCTGTACTGTGGAGCACAGACACATCCAGGATCCCTTGCTCATAGGATCAGGGATGGGTCTGGATGACAGCAAGCGTTTTCAGAAGCTGTGAAGAGGAGGAAGCCTGGGCAATCCTTTTCTGAGACTGCAACATTTCTCTAAGCTGCCAGGTTATGTCCCAGGTGTCACCTCCTCCTAAATGCTGTCCTTTGACCCCCAGCTTCCTCTGGTCGTAACTCTATTCTCAGGTATAGCTTTAAGTTTTTTTTTGGGGGGGGGCGAGCTTGACATCTAGAATCCTTGAGCAGATACTGCGAATCCTCATCGCCCTAAGCACAAGAGTGGCTTGCTGCTATAGCTCCACTCTGTCTTGTCTTGATAACTCTTTTGACCTTATAGCTGATTTATAGCCTGTGTAATGAATATATTCTTGATATTAGAGTCCATTTGAAATATCTAGTTTGGTTTACTTACTTGACTGCTCCCAAACTGTGAAATACAGTAATGAATTCAGATATATATATACATATATATACATATATATATATATATATGAAGGAAACTCAGAAATAAGTGGGTGTAAATAAATGCCCATAAGTTAATCAATGTCTAGGAGTAAATCAATAAATTGAAACTGTCTAATACTTTCATAAATATTTATTCAACTGTTTATTTGCAGTATGGAAGATGGAACCTAGAATACTATGGAAGCTAGCAAAATTCTCCGTCACTGAACAAATGAGGTTCTATTTTGTCAACAGAATGTTTTTAGAGAAAAAAATCTAAATAGCTAATGGAAGAAATAACAGGTAACCGACTGTGTAATGCCTAATAATCTGTTCTGGTGATCACATTTTATATACATCACCAAATTCTTAACTCAGTCTGTACAAGAGTGTGTTGGTTTCCTCTTAACATTGGTTCTAAAAGGTTCTTGCAGACACCTAAACCCCCCAAAAGTGTTCACATAGAAAGCTGTGTCAGATTTACATTTAATTTACTATGTCTACAACCTTCCTTTATACTAAAGATTATCAAAAATATCTGATATGTATACGTTTTGTGTTTAAGTGTTGCTAAACACATTAAGGACTGATAAGAAACAAACATGTTCGGCATGGGGATAATGCAACGCCATTCAAATATTTGTGAGACATAGTTGAGTACACATTATACGTTATACTGCGGATACAGAGGGCTGCAGCACCTCTGTAAATGCAGCCCTATAAACAGCCCTGCATTTAGGTAAGAACCCAGGGAGAGTGAACAATTTGTCTCAGGCTTCTTATTACTGTGTAAGACGTTCTACAGAAATGAGTATCCTAGACACCGCTACCAATATATCCTCTCGTGTCTTTTATGGATTACAAGCAGGCAGTCGTGGTGGTATAGCACTGTACTTTCCCCAAGAGTACCCTTAAATAAAAAACACTCCAAAAGCAATTTCTGAGGTTTTAATGCACAAAAAAAACAACAGCCCAGAAACATAACAAGCATCGACTTATTAGCAATGAAGTATGATATTAAGGAGACCCATCCCCACTCAGTAAATAGGAATATACTGTGAGTAGACATGAAGGAAAGGAAACACTTTAGGATTAAGTGCAAGCCCTAAAGTTGGATACAACATTCATATATGGCTTATCTTGCATCAATATTTTCATAATGAAGCTTATGACATCTATACATATCAGCAAGATGTTTCTGACTCAACAAAAATACTGAAGAGGTAGTTTTACCAATGCAAGGCGGGGAAAAGGCTTTACCTTGCTTTGGCGGTTTCCTCAAAACTCTGCCACAACAACTTTTGTTTCTCCTGGATCAGCCAGGAATATAATGCGTTTGGAGCCTGCCAATTCATAAATCTAAGGGCTGATTGACCCAATGGTACAAAGATGTTTTGGAAATCATGACTGTGTGTGTCTTCTGGGAAGCCTCCATCAAGTTCTTTGTTCTAGTGTAAGACATTCTGGGTCAAGAGAGAAAATGCATGATGGTGACTCTGAGTTGGGTGAAGCCCTTCTATTTTCTCGTCCAGTCTCTGGGTGGCTTCATGCTAGCAGCTTCCCCAGTGACCCGAGAATTTTTCCAGGTAACCTATTGTTGAATATCATGAGTTACTTTAAGTTTGGGGAAAAAAAGGAAGCTAGGAACTCTGTAATAAATACAAGTAACTGCACACAAGTCCTCTTGGTTTTGGCTGTGTTTCATAAGTCTGCGACTAAGAAGAAGTTTGACTTCTGATGGCTGCATGCTGCTTACTCTGTGTGTGTGTGTGTATCTGTGTGTGTGTCGGTGTGTGTTGAACTGGGGAAGTTCTATCTGCATGGAAACTGACATCAGTCGTTTGACTCTATGTACAAACTAGCTTATCCTAAACTTACAATTAGAAACAAGCCCGCCCCCACCCCCACACCAAAAATAACACAAACCGAAGAGGCCAAACAGCAACAAAACATTTGTCAGTTCTCAAAACTAGAACAGCCATGTGCCAGACCACGGTTAAGAACCACTAGAAAACCAGTGACATCTTATCCATCAGGTACGACCTGCTACACACAGAAGGCATCAATGTACAGTATGGAGCTCAGCAGAACCTGGACACATTAGCGCTAGGCTGAAATAGAGTAGGGATTTCCACAGAACACCCCCGGCTAAAAAAGGCAGTCTCATCGCAAGATCCCTGGAAGGGTCACCCATGACGAGAACATGGTGCGGCGGGTGACACTAAGTATTACTTCCACTCACACTTGTCTCTGATGGTGCACCGTGTAAGAAACAACGGCGATCGGCGCTTGCCCCCTTCCGCATTTTCTTGCAGGAAAGCAGGCGCAGGTACGTTCTCTGGCGGTGACCTACAGCTGCATGCCTCCTGCAGGCTCACCGTGCCAGGGGCAGATTTTCTGAGGACACAAGGTGCTCATCATCACAGGGGCGTACATGCATGAGCTCCCACGGATGAGGTCCACACGCTCCCGCCATCGCAAGGCTCCAGGTTCCAATCAAATCATAAATAACTCAAGAGTCCATGCCTGGGCGCTTCCCTTCACAACGTTACTGGAAAAGGAGGACTGGTCAGAGACAGCAGGAAGGCTGTCCACCGGTATGGATTGGAGAGTAGCTTTGTGCACGTTCGCAATATAAACAACAGCAACAACGAAATCCCCTCTCAGCATCCCCCAGCTACGGCCCGCGTTTTATTGGTTAGCTCTGTCTGTAGCTAGAAAGGCACTATGCTGCTCTTGGGCTCTTTCTGTCAGCTTTCTCCTCTTCTTCTTGTTTCTCTTCTCCTTGGCCTTTGGTGTTCTCTTCCCTGGGATGGGATAAAGAAAGAGCGAAAACAGAGGAAGTCAGAGAGTGCCTTTCCCAACGAAAGAGAACACAAAACATTCAGAATTTTGTCCAAAGCCCATCTGGAAAACATCACCTCCGGGAAAGGCCGCCTCAAAGGGAAAATTGTTCACATTAATTTTGATGAAATAATAATAATTTCCTAAATTGGATATGCTGTCCAGAACAGAGACAGATCTTCCTGTTACAGGGAGCTGGCATTATTTACAAACTTCCCAGGGGCCAGATCAGTCTTTCAAATATCAGTGTGCAGCGAAAATTCCATTTATAGTCCCCCACTTTGAACAATGCCACCGTTAGTAGCCACCTTTATAACTTTCTGCTTCTCCCCATCTGTCAGAAGAAACTAAGCTTCTCTCTACAGTAAATAGACCAGAAGCTTCGAACTCCATTCTTCAGGAGCATGGGTCTTCATTTTAACACCATCTCTGCCAGGTCCTCTACAGACCAATGAATGAAACAATTGACTGTGTGCGCTGATTTCTTTTTCTTTTTATTAAAAAACTCACAAGGGATCGTTCATTCCAAGTTTCATCAGTTCTTACCCAAATTGCCTGGACAAGTCATTCTTGTTAACACTGAGAAGGCTTGCTTGTTCCAACAAACAGATAATAAGTGTTTTTACTATCAGAAAATCATACCGTGTTCTATTTCTCCCCTTAGCCACTAGGATGCCTGGACCACAAACTGAATACTTGAGGTTTTTGCTCCGTCAGGGATTATTGGTTACAATTTCTCCTCTGCCTCTGCCATTTGTATTCTATACTTCAGAAGGTCTTGACATTGCTTTGTACATATGTATATGCAAGATTATGGGAAGAAAAACAACAGGAAGCACTTGGGGTTGTTTTGGTTTATTATTTTATATTACACACATATTGAAACATGGCATGTTCAGAGAAAAAAGGGAGACTTCATAAATGTCACATTTTAATGGGAGTTGTCACTCTCTACCTTCATCACAGAAAGACTACTCTAGAAAAAAATCCAATTATCAAATATGTGCTATCTGCTCTGCTTCCAAATTTATATAAAAATCAATGTTCCACTTCTTTAGGGTGCATCCATCAGATACCAAAGTACTCAGCACTGATGGGACATTTAGTTGAGCTTCCAACTAACTGATGCTCTTCAGTATTCCTGTGCATATGAAATTCAGTGTCCTGGCCCTTGTCATTACAACCCCCAAATGGAAAAGGTAACTAATATAAAATAAACTAGATGGGGCTGGAGAGGACCTGGGTTCAGTTCCCATGGTGGCTTGCAATGACCTCCACAGACACTACATAAACACACAGTACACATATGTTCATGCAGGAAAAACACTCATACACATGAAATAAATCTTAAAAAAATAATCAAGAGATGAAGGAGATACGTATCTTTGGAAACCAAAGGGAACACTTAAGTTTCCTAAGTTAAAGGACATATTTCCCATTCCTTCAAATTGCTGATCAGATGGTCACTGTTGGGGTTGAAGAAGGGTCTAACTCCTCACTACCCCAGAAAAGTGATAGGAATACAGTCAACATCCAACAAATGGTGCCTGAGGGGAAAAATCTCAAGGAAGAAGATAAACTTATTTTAATAGACACAACATTAAAATAATGAGAACATGATCATGCTCCCATATTAAATTATAAAGGTCCTTGAAGTTAACTTCTGGTTCTCATTAAATTTTGGCATTAAGTTATAATGGCATTTTGCCATCTTTAAACATGGTTAATCCTACCCAATGAAACCCTAGTCCAAGCCATCATTAATCCAAGCAGCTGTGAAGTTATAACATTGTAGGTCCATTATCTCTAATGATGACACGCCTGAGGAGTACGAAAATGTATTTAACAGAAAACAGCATGTCTGAAGAGAAGTGTCAGTTATGGAGTTCTACAAAGAATTCTTGGTTGTCCATGGTCACTAAATAAATATCTGAAGCGGAAAACAATCACTGTTGACTATATTTTTAAAATTCATTTAGTTTATCCTTTCTTTATCTAAACCTTGGCATTTCTCTTAAAAGTAAATTGAAATTATGTGAAAGGAGAACAAAGCTAACACGTCTTGCTTAAGCTGTTCTACAAGACCTAAGATGTTAGAGAAAGCTTGTGGCATTCACAATTTCAAAATCTTCATGTAGAGAAGGTAATATAAAATAAACTAGATGGGGCAAGAGAGATGGCTCTGTGGTTAAGAGAACTTGCTGCTCTTGCAGAGGACTTGGGTTCTGTTTCCATGGTGCCTCACAACCATCCATAAACCGAGTTCCAAGAAATTTGAGCTTGGGTTGTGGATGGTTGTGAACCACTATAGGAAATGTACATCACTTTCACTAAACCCTAATCTATGCATAGTTATACTTTTAAGATGGCTAATTTTGTATCAGCTATCTAATAGTTATTCCAATAAAAGCATCAGCATCAGATGACCTTGGTTTTGCAATGGGACAGTTACTGACATTTGCATGAAACACTTGGTATCACAGGCTTGTTCAGTCATTCTCCTGAAAATTATCAAGTATTCTTTCTAACTGTATGGTTATTTCTTTGATGACAAAGACTGAAAACGATTTGGGGACCCAGTGATAACCCTAATTACTTTCATATGAAGACTGTTGGATGTAAACTTCTTAGCCATTGTTTGGCTGATTTGTTGGTTGATTTTGTTTTGGGCCAGTACCATTTCTGGTATTAAATATATTGCAAATACCAAAGAATTAAGATAGTAAGCCAAAATCTGACCACAAACAGGACTAAATTAACTGAAAATATTTTGCGGTCTCACAGTAGATTGCTCTGACTTTATGCTCAACTTGAAATAATAGAAATATATTAAAAGAGAAGTTATAGAAAGGATTCTACACATTTTCTTCCAAATTAAGATTTTTCAGGCATTAAGAAATTAGGTTCAAACTGAGAAACATCCAACTCTGTTCTTATTTGATAATTTTTATTGGACATAAATGTGCCAATTTTTGTTCCCATTTAATTTCTTTACATCTACCTAGATATATTCATGTAGCTATATGGTATGATATTAAAGTTGGGGAATGACTTCTGTACATTGCATCATTGTACCTCTTCAACTTATGTATACACATATAAAATAAATGGCATGCATAATACCTGTTACCCTAAGGGAAATTCAACAGATTTAACTTCTTTCCCTCTGAGTTAATAATGGAAGACTCGGAATCTTCACTACACGAGATCAGAATAGAAGGTTTGGGCTTATGTGTTTGGCAGCCGAAGACGTACGCAACTCTGCTGACAAGTTCTGCATATCATTATCCTGACGGCTCTGAGAACACTGCGGCTTTGACCCTAAACTACAGCATGAGTCTGTTCAGAGTAGGACAGCACACTCTGCAGAACAGATCTGCTGAGAACCAACATATGGATGTGTAAGGATGACTTGTTGAGATGTTACCGTCTTTAGGGAAACTGATGTGATGTAATGTAGAAAAGCTACATCAAAGAAGAGAGAATCTGGACATTGTAACCGATGTGTGTGTCACGACACTGCAGTCTGCGTCTTCGTTTCTGCATCTACGGTCATTGTTCACCAGAGAGTGATGAGCTATTACGTGAGGAAGCCACGCTACTAAGATGAAAGGAAGGCAAAGTTGTCAAAACGGACAAAGCTAGGTATTATCAAAGCCGCACGCTAAGCAACCAGTCTTTACACACACACAGTGAAATGGTCCCAAAAGACATCCTATCCATTCTTCTACAGCAAGAGGTGAGAAAGTACTTGCAGAAATATTCCTAACTAGAAACTGTGGGTTCATGCTAACACATTCACAGCAGGGTAGGTTCTTTTAAAGCAAAATAGCAGGAAGACTCACAAACCACAGGAATATCTGAAAGCAACGAAACCTACTAATCCCACTGTTTCATTCTTCTACGGACTCTCGGATCCAACCGTTTCCTTTTCATCAGACTTCAGACAGAATCTCTGCATCATTGCAATAGTTCTTGTACTTCTATCAGGAAGGCATAGAGGCTGTCTAGGACCTCCAAAATGACGACTGTTTGTCCCGAGAAAAACTTTCTACGAGTAAATATAATAAAGAGAAACTTAAAGGGAAAAAACAGTAGCTATGACTATAAAATAGAAAACCTTCTCTCTTGGTTTTTACATATTTATGTAACATGTTATACACAATTATATGGGTGTGTATAAAACATGTATGCCCATACATACGCATGGAAATGGGAGAAAGCCACATCATGCCAAATGTAACTAACTGTATAATTAAGTATAATTACTGTTGTAGCTACTACTATAATAAAAAAATCACCTAAGAAGAAGATGCAAATTTTGAGGTTTGTGTTATTCCAGGGTTTTGTGAATTCATGAAATCTCTCAAGCAACTAACACCAAAGGATACAGAGTCTTGTTGAATGCTGCCATGCCTTGGAGCTGGCTCCCCAGTAAAAGTCTGAGAGATCTATACTTCAGACAAAGAGTGGCAAATTGGTGATTTCTCTTTCTCATATGGGCAAGTTGTGAGTTTATAGAAGAATGATTAGCAAGAGAAATTTATTGTTTTAAGAGTGATGAATGATTCTGTGGAAAGATGCCAGTTGGCTCTTAAAATACCTTAAGAGTTCATATAAAAATATACAAAAGACCTAAATATAGTTGATAAAGAAAATTCAAATGGCTAGCAAATATATTTAACAATTAAAACTGCCAAATAAAAGGGGTACCGACGAAGGACCCTTATAAGCAAAAATCCTTAAATCTGGATGTATCTCAGAGATATAACTCAAATACAGCCTCTCTCCAAAGCCACCTGAAAATATTCATAACTTTTGACTCTGAACTAGGAATCCATTTTAGGGAAACAATCTAAACTTGGGCAAAGTTGTATACACAGAAATGTCTACTAGGATAGTGACAATGCAGTACACTATCTCAATGTCCTAGTACAAGTTTCCATGGCCTCTTCCTTCCAAA